ATCCGCTTCAGAATCGACATGGGGAGAATGTTTGAATTGCGATATTGGTTATAGTTGTTAACTATATGTGTGCGATATCTTCCGCATGATATAGTTGGAATGATATCAGTCAATATAGGTAAATTCTATGTTCCAAATATTGTTGAAACAATATTCTACCAATATGCCGTCGAACTCGAACATACAATATTTCATAACCGCTTCAGAATTGACATGGGGAGAATGTTCAAATTGCTATATTGGTTATAATTGTTGGAAACAATATGTATACGATATCTTCCGCATGATATGGATAGAATGATATTAATCAAGATAGGTGAATATAATATTTCGAATATTGTTGAAACAATATTCAACCAATATGCCGTCGAACTCAAATATACAATATTGCACAACCGCCTCAGAATCAACATGGGGACAATATTCAAATCGCGATATTGGTTATAAATGTAAGAAGCAAATTGTATATGATATCTTCCGCATGATAAAATGATATCAATCAAGATGGGTGAATATAATGTTTCAAATATTGTTAAAACAATATTCAACTGATATGCCGTTTAACTTGAATATACAATATTGCATAACCGCTTCAGAATCGACATGGGGAGAATGTTCAAATTGCAATATTGGTTGTAAATGTCGGGACAATATGTATACGATGTTGTTGTGTCGACATTCGTAAAACAATATTATATAACATTCATAGATATGTTTTTCAACACATTGTTAACGAATTTTACAACTAATATTGCTCCAGTATTGTAGCTGACAATCCATATTCAGCTCAGGTTGAACCAATATTTCACCAATATTATCATTCCAATATTGTTTGTCCAATATACTCTCATATTGGACCTATATTATTTTTCACATGTACGATATATCTATATCGGCCCAATATGAAATCGGGTTCCAGCCAATATGATGTGCTACCTGGGGTCGTTCTCTATAGACTGAAAGCCAGCGACCGCCAGCCGGTGGAATCGTTTTGGGGGTTAAAAATCTTCAGTACTGGATGGGCTTTCAAGAGATACCGGGTGTTGAAAGTACAAAAAAAAAACTGGCAAAATCATCATTTCAACAAAAGCTGATCTTTTTATGTTCAATCGAATCCTATCATGAAAGAGAATATACAATTGCCAGACACTTTCCACGGGGTGTTCTCCTGCCAGACAACTTTATAAATCGTGAAAATATCATGACATTTACGTCATAGTAACAGAGCTTGATTTTGTGAATGTTATTAAGAAGTCTATTTTACAGTATCATTCAAACAGACAGTCACTGCCAATTGGACAGACATGTAAAAATCAGAACTTTTTCATAGCAATTGAAATAAGTTTATCTCTGATGGTCCCCTCTATACCTGAAATTCTGTAATCTGTTCATCAAATAGTATATAGGTACCTGAAAGTACATAAAAAAGGAATTTGGAGTGATAAAATTGAAAACATCACTACAGGAAGCACTGAACATCCTATGCATTCTTACATGGAGTGCACTTTCTACTAACGAATCGATCTTGATGCTCTGAAATTCAATTGACGCTTTCTGAAATTCAAATGATATTTTCTGAAATACAAATGACGTTTTCTGAAATTCAATTGACTATTCTGAAATACAATTGATGCATTCTGAAATACAAGTGACTATTCTGAAATACATTTGACCCTTTCTGAAATTCAATTGATTATTCTGAAATACAATTGATGCATTATGAAATTGAATTGACTATTCTGAAATACAATTGACGCTTCCTGAATTCAAATTGAATATTCGGAAATATAATGGGGAAGACCACTGAGAGAAGAAATCCGTGCAAACCTCTTTCAATCGACGAATCATGATTCACGTTTGATGTACAATCAATATTATGAGTTAAAGTTGAAGGGAATCGAATCTATATCGTTTTGAAATCAGCATATTTCATTCGATATTTCAAACAGCCAAATATAATGGTGGAGTCGTGACGTATTAGTCCCGAACTGTAGCTATCTCTCTCTGATACCTCGTCATTCTGCAGTGTTGCAGTGTGATTGGTCAGTTCAAGGACAATAGGCGTGTTGGGAATAAGACGTCGCAGCAGTCACACCAATGAATTGACAAAAGTTCAAATGGCGCAGGAATTGTGTGTTTTGAAATGGACATATTCTAATTTATTTTTTCCATCGTCTTAGCATGAATGACAAAATTCAAAATTAATTCGCCGGTAGTTTTTCAGTATATAGTTCACGATAATGTCATTTTAAAAAATCAGTGGTCTCCCCCATTGACGCTTCCTGAAATACTATTGACGCTTTCTGAAATTGAATTAACGCTTTCTGAAATACATCTGGAAAAGGTGTAGTGGTTTATCAGTTAGATAATACCGAGTGACACAGGAGACTTGTAGTTTATTTTATTTAAAGAGATAAAAATTAGAAATTCACAAGGGTTATATGATCAATGATGGCGCTTCCCTTGAACCCAATGATTTTTTCTTCAACCACCTGTTTGATCGGAAGTTGACCCAACTTTTTTTTTAAATGACACCCTGTATATTTCTGTAGCCTATCTTATTCGCCTTACAATTATCTATTCAACTATGTATCACAATTCGATATTCGTTCATTAATTGGCTGTCAAATTGCATTTTATTGCAATACATGAAGTTGTCTGTGGCCCGAATACAATGACAATTCGATGCTTGATAGGCTCAGGAATCCAAAGATCATTACTTGGACGACATTATCAGAAAATTTTCCATACCCTTATCGGTCCCAGAAGATTGCAATTCAATGAACAATCGTCAAACTAGAAATTTTGTGTAAACCGCCTACTAAACTAAGCGAAATGATACTGAAAATACACTAATGTAGACTTATGAACAGATGTATTATTACAACAATTTCAGCCTCATGTATCCAAATGGATGATCATATTATGGCTACATGGCAAAAATAAAAGACAAATAGTTTCTTCACAAGTAGCCAAATCAAAAAAACTGAGTTTCTATCTTAGTTTTCTCAATATCGTGAGTTATTTTCGGATGATTTTCTTAAACTCAATGAAATTATTGGCAATCTTCTGGGACCGATAAGGGTATGAGAAATTTTCTGAAAATATCGTCTAAGTAATGATCTTCGGATTTCTGAGCCTATATCAAGCATCGAAATGTGTATTCGGGCCACAGCTAACTTCATGTATTTCAAAAAAATGCAATTCAACAGCCAATTAAATAACGAATATCGAGATAGTTGGAGAAAATAGTTATTTTTGTATCTACAGCGCGAAATGCTAATTTGGGCATCGAGATCGGCTGATAGCCGAGTCAAAAAAATAGTCGAGATGACCAAAGTATTTCGCGCTCGAGTTGCAAACAACATTTGTTCTACAAACGTCAAAAAATTAAATTCTAAAGTAAAGATATGCTTTGCTTGATATAAAAAATATTGTTGAACTGGCTTAAAAGGCCTCCCCCTATCCTCCCTAGGTACGCACGATGCTCCACGAACATAATAGGAATTTCCTTTCGTGCGCTCCAAGAGATATACCAAATTTATTGTTGAACATTCAGAAATAAATGATTTCGTGGATGTTTGCTCGATTGAGGACCTTAAAGTTGAAATATAAATATCTCATATATTTTACATAACAATGCGCGAAGTAGGTACTTCGCGCACTGTCTTATTTCGCACATTGTTTTGTGCAAGGTATCATGGTAACGTAAGAAACTGAAAAAAAGTGTCATTTCGCAATTTGTTTTCAATGCGCAAACCTTTCAACTCGGCTGCGCTTCGTTGAAAAAATCACTTGCTTCATCGCCAAACCAGCATTTTTCGCACTACTTATTGGGTAGATACAAAAATAACTATTCTCTACGAACGTCAAAAATCAACAAGGTTCGCGCATTGATAAAAATATACGAAGTGACAGTTTTTTTCAGTTTCCTATACGTAACTACGACACCGTGCGCGAAATAGTGTTGGAAATACAATAGTTCGCGAAATACATATTTCGCACACTGAGATTCAACCTTTATGGTTCTCAATCAAGCAAAAGTTCTAATTGATAATTCATTTCTGAATGTTTCACATTTGGCTTTTTGCTGACGTTTGTATACAGAAAAATTTGTATTTGCAACTCGTTTGCGATAGATACTTTGGTGATCTCGACAAATTTTTGACTTGGCTGCGCCTCGTAAAAAAACTTTTTCCGAAGGCAAGTACTTGTTGTCCGCAGACAATAACTTTTCGTCCGCAAACACTTTTCGTCGGCTGCAGGGTTGCCATTCAACTGAATTTTCATTAGATCTCCTTATTTACATATTGATCTACTGATTTACTGAAACATTCAATAACCTACTGGAAAATATGTTGATACTTATTTATTATTATAATTACCTGTATAATAATCAATCTGTTCAAATTGATTTTACAAAATACCGTAATAAATTCACATTTAGGTACTAATAAACCAAAAAAGGCAATACTTCATCTGATTCAGATAAAATTCAATTTTTTTATACCTCAGTTATAACAGTTTGGTTCTTGCGATAAATTTTTTTGTTCGTTCTTTATATTTTTGTTGTTCATTTCCACTAATCGATATCAAGTTTTTTATTTACTCAAATCTTAAAAGTACTGTAATATGTAACTGTAATATGTGATATTTGAGAGTAATGTCAGATTGAGAATTGAGGATATGAATATTTTTTCATAAAAATTTTTGTTTTTTTGTTTCCATTTTGTTGAAAATAGGTTATTTACTTTTCTGTTCACTAAAAGTACATAATGTTTCACCGTCATAGGTTTATTCAATTATCATTTTTTAGATGTAAATATAAGTGTTTGAGGTCGACGAAACAATTTAGTATGCACCTCGTCGAAAAACTTTTTATGATCTCGCCTGTTTGCTAGCCTCGGCTAAGGCCTCGCGGCTATCAATGCTCAGACTCGACTATAATAGAAAGTTTTTAGTCCTTGGTACATAATTAACTACTTCATTTTGTTTTTCAGGACAGGAAGATGATCCCTTTACATGTGGTTATATTCAGCCTGATCGCATCGAATGTCGCTGAAATTCATCAAGGTGGAATTTTATATCCAAGAGCATCAGAGAGTCGGCAAGTTACTACTTTAGACGGCCTATGGAATTTCATTGTAGCAAATACCAGCAACCCATTCCTAGGCTTTCAACAACATTGGTACAAGACCGATTTAAAAAAAGTAAGCAAGGGCATAATATATCCAGCTCTCGCGGCAGGGGAGTCACCAACTTCTTGCAAATTTCAAGATCTTGTCTTGATCTTGTCTTGATCTCAAGTCGAAACTTGGCTATTTATTGAAGAATATCATGGATAAGTCCGAAACGGGTGATTTCATACCCTTGTTATCATATATCATTAAACTCGTCTTTTTGTGCTCTATCCAAAGACGGAATGAAATTCAGGGTATTCCATTTGAAAAATTGTATGTTTGGTATGTCACAGGCATATGCATCATCCTGTATAGTTGACATTATATAAAACAGAGAGTTCACTTCGATTCCGTACCTATTTTCGTTCACCAGATAAGGGGATTGCCCATGTTATGTGGGATACCCTGTACCACATACCAGGATTCGGAAATTTCGAAAAAAGTTACCAACACTAATATCATAACCATAATAACACAATTATATGTACAATGTTTATCCTTAGGACGTCCTGTCGGGACATTCAGGACGTCCATAGGACGTTCGAATTTGGTACCGTGGACGTCCATTGGACGTCTGTGGGACGCACAAATGTTCCACTTGAGAACCAACTAGGGACGTCCTCGAGGGATTTCTCTGGGACAACTATCGAATACCTAAATCCTGATGTATTCGTCATCAAGCACTACGGAGGACATCCTTAGGACATCCGTAGGACAACCTATCAGCAACGCTGAGGAATATCAATTGGATGTCCCAAGGATGTTCCAGGGACGTACGAATTATTCTTGAATTTGAATTTTCCTAGGTCCCTCTAGGACCAGATCTTGCCTAACTGATGAGGACATCCAGTTGAGTTGATGGTCCGTAGAAAATCCCCAATTGATCCTGAGAAAGTTACCCAAGGATGTCCACAGGACTTTCGAGAAGGACATTGACGGGGAGTATTTAGAGCCTACGAGCAATCATTCATCGGCGAGGTGTGAGTTAACGTCCTCGCAGGGACAACATTGAAAGTAACGACTGGGACATCCATAGGACGTTATTTCTAGGACATTGGATGAGTACCGTTTATGTACCAATTGGGACATCCGACGGATATCTGTAAGGGACATTTGAAGGATGTCCCTAAGGGACATTTTGATTGTTATACGATCCTGGAAATATTAAGGGCGTCTGTGCAGAGATATTTGAAGAAATGTACCATCAGGGACATTTCATGGTTGTCTAGTAGGGACATTATATAAGATCTGAAGTCATGCCAGAATATGTACTACTCGGGACATCCGATGGATGTCCCTAAAGACACGTTTAAAATCAAATCCCATCAAGGACATGCCAAGGACGTCCTTGCATGGACATTCTACAATATGTACCTCGTGGAACGTCTAAATGATGCTATTTCTAGGACATTTGAAATGATGTACCAGCTGGGACATTCCGTAGACATCCTAGCTCGGACATTGCATGAGATTTACGGGATGGGACGTCCCAAGGACACTTATTTTTGGTCCGGGACATTCGCATTTGAATTGTACCAAATAGGGACGTCCCTTGGACGTTGTGTGCTATCAGAGTAATGGTACGAATATTCGAGAAAATTCCGTCAACATTTCATTTCGTATTTCGAAATTTACCAGCGGCGTCCCACAAAAAATATATTGAGTGGAAAAAAGCTAGACCCTTGAAATAATAACTCCCTGTTGATTCTTTTTATGACTCGGCATGCTCTATATGATATAATCTCTAAAGAGTACCTTACCTTCCTTCCAGACTCGATCTAATATCTCGAAAACTGACATCGAGAGCTTTGAAGAAAAAATTAATGTTGAAACTTCAATAACGTGCTTTAACGTCCTGTAGATCTGCAATTAAACGACACATGTCGTCATGGACATGGATAGATGTTTATAGAAAAAAAGTCATATTTGACCTAAAAAATACCACCCTGAAATTTTGATTTTGAACGAATTTTGAAACACCCTTAATTCATAATTATTTCATGTCAAACTGCTGCTTTGCTATCAATGGTTACATGGTTGAAAACACCAACGTTAATAGAATCATTAGAATTAGAAGATAGCTAGTATTTTATTTAAAAAAAAAAACGGAATTTTGAAAAACAAATCATGTTGCTTCGAAAATCAACATGGGCGCATAGTTGTATTCGTTGAGATTATTTCATGAATGAAATCATTTTCTTATTAACGTCTTATTTTCTTTCATTATGATTCGCAGAATTTTGTTTGATGTGGAGAAAATGACTTTAGGGACTCTCAACAACTAACAAGTGTCTCCAAGTGATAAGAGATAAGACATTCATGACCACACTGTATGAGTTTTGATAAAATTCTCAATCCTACTCCAAAGATCACCATGCTCACTAGCTCAAAAATAAGCCTTTTTTAAGGTACCAGAACAATCTCAAAATGTTCCACAAGAATATAATAGTACATAATTCGATAACGGTTAAAAATTACTGAAGAGATAATATATTATCACATAACTTTTCTCAAAATACGACATGCATTTCAAAAAAGTTTTAAAATACAAGGTGTTCAATTCTACAAAAAATGATGTTTGTTTCCATTTGTTTATATTGTCTCATATAATGCTTCAAATTTTTTGAAATTCAATCGAATGGAAACATCGAAAAGTTCATACGAACCTGTTACGTGATATACCCTGTATAAAATAGAGCGCTCTACTTTGCAGCTTCCCGAAAATATATCAGATGATCCAACGGAAACTTTTCACCCAAATTTCATCCTTAACATATGTAAAAATCTTGCGCTTAATCATCGGAATATTTTTTTTGTATCTAGATAAATACGTCAGAAGTCCTTCTTATGCCTGTACCAGCGAGTTACAACGACATAACGACCGATTGGTTGCTCAGAGATCACGTGGGCTTGGTCTGGTACGACAGATCATTTTTCGTTCCGAAACGTTGGTCGGAAGAAGGCAGGGTTTGGCTTCGATTCGGATCAGTATCCTATGCCGCTCAAGTGGTAAGTGTTTGAATTAGATTCTTCGATCATTTCAGGAAGCAAAGAAATTGCGAAGATGACGTTCGATGAACGTTGTGAAGAAGACGTTGAATGAACGTTGTGACGATAACGCGAAACCAATGTTGTGACGATGACGTTGAACAAACGTTGCTAATATGACTTTGAATGAACATTATGGAGATTACGTTGGATGAATGTTGTGAAGTTGACATTGCATGGAACGTTGTGAAGATGACATTGAATAAACGCTGTGAAGAAGATGAATAAACGCTGTGAAGATGAAGTTGAATAGACGTTGTAGAGATGACTTGGAGTATTTTCTCGAGGAAATTAATGAAATAAAATGTTTTTTGTTGCAGTGGGTCAATGGGGAGTTTTTAATGAGCCACGAGATAGGCCATTTGCCGTTTGTAGCAGAAGTTACGAATTATCTGAAATACGGGGAGGAAAATATAGTGACAGTTGCATGTGACAATACTCTGCTCCAAGATACGATACCTCAAGGAAAGCTCGAGGAATTACAAAAGTATGACTTTTATAGAAAACAGTATACGATAATATCAGCAACTTTACGAACAATACGAATAATATATTTCGTCCTCAGTGTTATAATGTACAGAGTGGGCCAAATTATTTTCACGAGAACATATAATTTTTGTCAAAAAAAACATTAGTAGCCACTTTTCAAAAATGCCCATTTTGTAACTTGTACCTTGTAACTCCGAAATATCGATATGCGGTTTTAACCATTGGGTTTTCTTCTATCTAGTTGGAAGGAGTTTCCCTTTGAAATAGACCAATTTGGCCCACCCTGTACATATAACACATACAGGGTGCTATTCAGATATATAGCCAAACTTCAAGGGACGATACTCTGGGTGATTCTAAGACGAAAAGGTCATTTGAATATATTTATGAAACTACGTCGTTTTCAAGATACAGGACGCAAAGTTTTTCTTTAAATTTCTGTAAATACCTATTGTGAACTTTTTTTATTCAACTCTGTTTAAATTTTGCAGTTTTGTAGTCTTTAGGGGATGAATTATCCATAGTTATATTTACGAAAAAGTCAATTTCTTCAAAAACTTCTGTATTTGTATCTTGAAAACCATTTTTGGTCGTATGTTGATATGAACTTTCCGTTTAGGGATTCGGAAAATCATCCCTCGATGATTGGTCACATTCTTGAATAACCCCCTGTATATCATGGATATACGTTGCCAATATACCAATCGTCCAAAAATACAGGTTTCTGCAAAAAAAAATAGTGCAACACCATCAATATTAGTCATAAAATGTCTCTTGACATAGTTATGTCATTACCTGTGGGATCCAGAAGATAATCTTCAATTGTTTCCGAAACGATTTAATGAGTATTTGGAATTGATCCTCGAATTGATCACAGTACATTGCCTATCACAATTACTTAAGAAAATATAGGGACTTGCACTAAGAATTGACTACTTTATTTGCCTTTCACTCAATAACTCTACCCGAATATTTTTCAGTGGAAGATTGACGCAGACATACACTTTCGATTTTTTCAATTATGCCGGTATCGACAGGACTGTCCACCTTTACACTACACCGAAAACTTACATCGACGATATTTCTATTGTGACCACTGAAATACAGGGATCTGAAGGTAAGGATAACTTTTTATAATAGCCAGTATCGTCTATTGTATAATCCGTCAATAATCATAGATTGTCCCAATAGTTACCATTCGGTTTGGTCCCTCGCGGGAAGCATTATTTGGAAAGAATTTCTTCAATAGTTCATTCATTCCCACGACTCTCCAAATTCGACAGCACACTAATTAATTCCTTGACATCTATGAGATAGGTACCTTTGGATGGCTTCTGAGGGTTGTTTCTGCTAGAGTTCCTAAATGTACTTGACACTGCTGTTATGACTTTTTTTTTATATTTCCTTCCTCGAAAAGTCCTGGGAAGAGTACATCCATATATACCTTTCTCTGTCTTTGATTTTTGCATGAGAGTGCATTGTGTCTCCTCGAGTGGGTAAAAGGGTACGAAACATTGATTAGAAAATGATTTCTTCTCGAAATATTGAATGACAAGGCTGAAGGACCCCGATGGGGGTCCATATCAAGTTGGTATATACATGTATACCAACGAAATACATATACTATTCCTATGAAATGAGTCTCTTATATGTAGGTGACTATATACACGTTCAGTTGAATATTTTTTTATCACAAAAGTTCAGAAAGGGGTAAAATCTGATAAATTTCAACCAATGAAACCTACTTTTATTTCGTATGGAACAATTTCACTTATACAAGAGTGGTAGGTAATAAGTAATCAATAAATGAACAAATATATATAGCAACAATAACATCTGATTTCAGTTAGGATAAATAATAAACGCTTTTTCTCTGTGACGGGAAAAAAGTTTGGCATTTCATCTCTGTTGGCAGGTTATAAAATGTCACTTTTCATAAATTACTTTTTTCCCGTGGGAAAAAAGTGAGTACTTTTTTCCCGGATATATATCACATTTATATATACTCTGTTAATGGCTTTTGTTGTGCTATAGTTCCGAAAAATGAGTCAATAATACCGTCTCCGAGAAAGAACTGCAAATCCTTTTATCTTCCATTCGACTTCGCGGTTTCGTATATTACTAAACAACTACTGAATTCGCAATTTTTCAGAATCAAATCACAGAATTGAACTGACAGAAGTGACATCAGATATTTGATTACTTCAAAAGAATGATAAAGATGCCTATAAAACGCAGGTGTCCCTACTACTAAAAACTTGAAATTTCACGTCGATAATTTTCAGATTTCGAAATAATATAATATCTTCTCAATATTGATTCGTCCTTCCTTCTTTCACAGAAAAAAATAGTGTATTATACACGGGAAAAATATTAGATTTTAGCTCACGGTTTTTTGTCTCCCTCCGCTACGCGTCGGGAGACAACACAACCTGGAGCTACAATCTACAACTTTTTTCCCTTGTATAATAAATAACTATTTCCAAACTTTTTGCATCCCATCTGTTACCATTAAATTTCAAATCTTGAGATGGATCATGATCATATAAAGCAACATTTTTACTAATATCATTCAATTTGTTATTTAAATCTTCTATTCGGTTTTTCGAATGCAAAAGTTTTTCGTAGTATTGTTCATCAAAACTATGCCTAGATATTTGCTCGTTCAATTTTCTTGTATTTCTCTGAAGATATTTGATGATTTTGTTTCAAATCTGAAATAATTTTTAGGTAATAGTTCTGAATTTTGCTAACTCTGACTTTTGTATATCTAAATCTTTGTGCTTTAACTCATTTTCTAACTCTATTTTTTTTTCTATTTGTTTCCTGAATTCACTCTCTTCCATTCGTAAACCTCGGATTTTAGAATATTCCTGCCCTAAGAATTCGATTCTCAAGTTTTTTTCTTTCAAAATATGTTCGAAATGAATTTCATTATCTGCAAGTTTTTCATTTCTTGTTGGTTCTAAATTGGAATAAGATTCTTTTCGATACTCGCTCAGTTCATAAATTGTGGGTTCTGCTCTTTCTCTCAATACGATCCTATTCTTCAACATCAAATCTTCCGTTCTGAAGTGTACCTGATGAACATGCGATGAAATATGTTCTATATCTTATCAAAAAATTTGAATACCTTGCAAATTTCGTGGCCTGAACTATATTCCATGCCGGCCGCATCATATTCTGTTTCCATTTTTGTAGAATCACGTTATCCGATGGAAATTCGAATAGAGTGAATTGATTTTCCAAGTTCTCACAGTTGGCAACTGCACAAACTTGCATCTTTCTCCTAATTCTCTCAATTTGTCAAACCTTTAAAATGTATGTCATATGTACGTCCATGTACTGTGAGTTCCCGCTATTTCCATCAATTTATTTGTGGTTATGTCTGATTGTCAGTGCTTGTCATAGTGTCCGTACTGTCAATATACGAAAAACGTCTAAGCAACAGTGTCGAATACATTTAGGAACTCTAGTTTCCGCAACCAATAAAGTGATGAGTTACAAAGAATGTTGACTATTTTTTTTTCAGCTTCGCTTTGGTATAATATAACAGTGGCAGGTGATGATAACGTAACATGCAGAGTTACTCTGATCGACAAAAATGATAATACTGTCGCGAGCAAAAAAACGCACAGTGCGTTTCAAGGCGTTCTGAAAGTTGAAAACCCCAAACTGTGGTGGCCATATTTGATGCATGATCGACCTGGATACCAATACTCTCTTCAGGTGAGTTAATATTTCACACGAAATGGAGGAAGTTATGCTTGAACTCAGTATTCCACTTTTTCTACAAATACATTATTTTCTTCTCATGTCTGGAATTTTTTAAGCCCCATCTGCTCATGTCAGAGCAGATAGGACACTCCACGATGCATATACAGGGTGTGGAAAAAGTGCGGAAAAAATCAAGTAACCCAACTTAAAACAATTTGAATGATTGAACTCCGCATGATTGTGCCGTTTGCACGGAAATTTGAACAGAGATGACGTCACAATCGCTACAGTGTTAAACATTGGACGGAGAAAGGCGTCTCGCCCCAAATTTTAATTTTTTAATGGTGCCTCGATAGTATACGTCGAGTTTTCTCAGGGTTTCGAATTTTTGTATTTAATTCAATGTCACCCTGTATATTTTCCTTCAGAATACCCTGTATTTCATTGTTTCGTTGTATTTTGTTATTTCATTTCCTTCAAAGTGGTGTATAATACTTTTTACAAACGATTTCCAGAAATGCTAAAAAAAATACGAATACATCATGAAATCATGATGTTTTTTTTTCATAGCGGCCGTGGATTCAACATGCTCAAAATTTAATCTAACCAAGTAGCATCTTGGTAGTATACTTGCCTTAAATTTAAGAATTGTGGGAGGAGTACAGCGTTCCTAGTTATCGCTTCTTAGGTTGAATCCGAATACTAGCGACTAAATTATTTTTTCATACTACGACAGTTATTACTACGACTCGTGGCGTAGTTGACGGTGCGTTTGAATCCCACGTGGGCGTCCCGGGTTCAATGCCTGCGACGGTCGGCTTTTTTTTATTCTGTTTTCTCAAGTGATTTCCCGAAAAATTTTATTCTTAGGAAGACGGTTCATCTAGGCCGATTAAAGTCACCTGGTTTAAAAATAGTAGTGTTCTTTTTTATGCAGGACGGATATTCACCCTCCTCCCTGAAAAGCGGACTTCTGTCTTTTTGGACAGAAGGTTCATTTAAGCCGAGTAAAATTAGATGGTTTGAAAAAAGTTGTGTCCACCATTGACGTGACTGATACGGCCGGGATTACGCGAAGTCCCTACCACTATTTCTTTCATTTTCACTATTCCCACTTTCCACAGATTCTCACCATACCCAGGATGCCTATTCCGAGAATTATTCTTTAAAAGATGACTTTGTGAGACTCTGTGGAGATGGTGCATGGTGAGGAGTTTTCAATGTGAAAATTGGATGTAGTTGGAATCAAAAATAATAAGGGATTGTGAGAATGCGAGGAATGTGGGCCTGGTAAGAATGAATTGATGAGAATCCATGCAGAGTGGGTTTGGTGGGAATCTGCGGAAGTTGGGCACGGTAAGAATGGGGGATCGTGAAATTTGTACTGTGTAAGAATTGGGGATGGTGAGAATATTGTTTTACTCTTGTCCAACTTTCGTAGTGGACATGAAGGTAGGAATTTTGCATCGTGAGAATTTGGCATCGATAAAAATTGGGCATCGCGCTACACACACCATTAACCGCACTTTACGACCCGATGAGCACCTATAGGGGAGATGTGTGTAAAACGGCCATCCTAAGGAACGATGCAACATTTGAGAAAACCTTCGTTCTCACTCTGATAATATTGAACCCATACATTCTTCAGTTGATCTACTATAAGATTTCTGACTGACATTTTCACTTCGGATGTAGTGCAATCGGTAGTTACTAAATACATATGTGAAAAAGTGCACAATGGCCGTTTTGCCCTATAGGAAGTGGAATAGTAGCCAATTGATGTGTTTAAAGAGGCCACTAATGCTACCATGGTGAAACTCTTGCCAAAATATTGAATAACAAATTTTAATCAACCGATAGTGTCGTCTGAACAATATTTTCATGATGTATGTACCTATAAGTATAGTTGCAGTATTGGAGTGAGGTGTTGTGACCACTTTTACTCAAGGTTTATTCCTTACCCACATTCTCCCTACGTCTGATAAACGTTGAGAATTGTTTGACTAACCATCCGTTGAAAATTGCTAAAACTGTCGCGGAAAACACCGTTTTTTTTCATTCAATAGTTATATTAGAGTAGGTATTTGAAATAAAAAAAATACGTATTCTCAACAAATTCATCAACGAGTCGTTAGTTGATGACGTTGAATTTATGTTATTGAAATGTATTCTCATAACGCAATTGTCATAACCAAATTGACAACGTTGAAAAACCAACGATAGATAGATAGAGTAGCGTCAAAAAGGGTTAAGTGACTCGGCAAAATGCGTTTTTATCGTTTTTCCGGAAAGTATTGGGACAAAAAATATACAAAAAGCTATGAAGGTTGTAAGTCCTAGCACCCTTTCCGGATGGCTCAGTCGTCGAAAATAATATTTGAAAAATTAAGGATAAGGCCTTCATTTTTCGTTTGTGAAGTCTTCGACTGATTCATTTAACCTAACGTTTAAATTAACGTTGAATTAACGTACATTGGAATAAAATTGCACTTGTGGTGACTGGGGTCCCTTGATTTAAATTGACGTATTTGTCATCTTAACAGGGTTCGGACAGATCCTCGTCTCTGCTCACTCTAAAGTGTTTGTGAAACAGTTATATAGTTCCATCTGTAGAAGATTTCCCGAGTCACCTTGTATTATTCTGACTGTTGAGATTATGTTTTTCGGGGAGGTTTCCAGGACGAGGGATAACAAGGTTTTGTTTTTGAACACGAGATAAGTTTTTGTAATATGAATATTCGTTTTCTTACAATTAAAGCAAAGTAGAAAGTTTCTCGGTATAGTTCTTATTTCTTGAGACCCAAAAGCTATCCTGGGAGATATTGGCCGTGAATATTTCCAACAGAAATCAGAAGTGGTCAAGAAACACAGAGCAGAGAGGCGGATAATATCTTTGAACAAGTAAGAAGCAATATCAAGTGCAAAAGCTAGATCGTGGGTGCAATCCAAGCAGTTCAGAAGCAGTTTATCGGATTTTGCAAGAATATTTCATATCTGACAATTGTTGACAGCCAAAGTCACAAAATGAATTCTGAAGCAGATACCGTGTCAGGTTCATCAGGAGAAGGACAATTTATGGATAGATTCATGGATATGATGCAAATGATGGAACGAGCAAGATTAGCCAGTGAAGAGAGATTTCTAAAGCTATTGGAGAAACAAGCACAAACTCAGGTTCAAACACAGTTTCAGGTAATGCCCGATTTTAGTCAAAGCATTGAAAATTTCGATGGGGAAAATCTAGGAAAGAAGGCAATGGACTGGTTGAAGACGGTGGAAAGTGCAGCTTTACTTCATAAATGGCCGGAAGAATTCAAACTGGAAACAGCTAAGATTCATTTAGTTGGTACTGCGAAGAAATGGTTTATTGAAAAAGCGGCGGAAATTCAGAATTTTGACGACTTCAGGTATAGATTTACAAAAACATTCAACTTGAAAAGTAGCAAAGATGAGCTTTGGGAGAAAATGAAAAAGAGAATACAGGGTAAGTCAGAATCTGTTTCCTCTTATTTTCATGATAAAGTTACAATTTGCCAAGCACTTGGTTTTGATTTTGACGACACCAAGGAACAAATTTTGATTGGTCTTTTAAATAAAGATATCATACCAGGTCTTGTTGCTACTAGAATTGATAATTTTGATGATCTTCTACATGAAATCATAAGATTTGAAAGAATTTATGGTAAATCTAATTTGAATAAAAGTCAGTCATATCAGAAATTTGGAAAATTTCAAGCCCAGTCAAGTTATGCATCTGAGAAGAGAAATAATTATACAGTCAAAGAATCTGTTAATAAGTCAGTAAATAATTCTTCATCAGATATTCCTTCAACAAGTGGAACAGAATCGCCGGGGAATCAAGAACAGCGTAGGGTTGAAAATAGACACTGTTTTTATTGCAAAGTAGGAGGGCATTTGAAAGCTGATTGTCCGAAACGCAGGTCTAGTACATTGGTTACAAATGATACAACTCCGCAACCCAGTTCCGACAACACTCAATCGTTAGTTCATGGATCAAAGGATGAGGATGAATCCATTGCAAAATTCATAAGACAAATCTCGTTGAACAATGATTTATATGTTACAGCTTTCGTTGATCCAGGCAGTGCGGTATGTACAATAAAAAGGACAGTTATCGAGGACAACAGTCTGAATACTCATTCGATAGACAGGAAGTTGTACGGATTCGGTGACAATTGTCCGGTTCACTGTGATCAAGCAGTGAAAATCAAAATTGGACTAGATGAAGTTGAAGAAGAAGTCGAAGCATTAGTTGTACCGGATAATGTGCAACCATTGGATCTAGTGATCGGAAGAACGTTCACGGAATTGCCAGGATTAGCATATGTTCGTGTTGGGGACAGTCTACATTTTGGATACAGAAATGAAGACCCATTTCGTAATATGCAGTTGAAGTCATGTACTACAAAAAGGCAGGTTTATGTACAGAAGGCCATGAAAGTGGAGAAGAACAGGATCAATTTTGTTCAAGTTCGTATTGGGGAGGAAATCGGTCACTTGCCGATAGTGTCTCAAGCCGAAGTTGAACTGAAAATGAATGATCGAATTGGAGAAATCAGAGGTATCACGGAAAATGTAGTAAGTGAAGAACACTCAGTTAAGAGACATCTCATTACTTTGGATTTGTTGAAATTGGATGACTCTGTAGAAATTTGCGATCGTGAGAAATTACTAGATTTGCTAAATGAATTTCGTGATTGTTTCGCTTTGAATATACACGAGCTAGGGTGTACAGATATTATGACGGTTAATATAGAGGATAATAATAAACCATTCAGGATGAAACCATACAAATGTAATTTTGAGGATAGGAAGATCATAAAAGATATTGTTGAAGAATGGCGGGAATGCGGAATAGTCAGAGACACAAATTCTTCTTATGCATCTCCTGTATTACTGGTACCGAAGAGTTCTGGTGAAAAAAGACTCGTTATTGACTTTCGGAAGTTGAATAACCAAACTAAGATTAAAAATTTTCCAATGCCACAAAT